ACCACAGTCTTCAGTATGGATTACACCTCAACATAAAGAAAACAAAAATCCTCACAACTGGACCAATAAGCAACATCATGATAAATGGAGAAAAGACCGAAGCTGTCAAAGATTTCATTTTACTTGGATCCACTATCAACACCCATGGAAGCAGCAGTCAAGAAAGCAAACGACACACTGCATTGGGCAAATCTGCTGCGAAAGACCTCTTTGAAGTGTTGAAAAGCAAAGATATAACCTTGAAGACTAAGGTGCACCTGACCCAAGCCATGGTATTTTCAATTGCATCATATGCATGTGAAAGCTGGATAATGAATAAGGAAGATCGAAGAAGAACTGACGCCTTTGAATTGTGGTGTTGGTGAAGAATATTGAATATACCATGGACTGCCAAAAGAACGGACAAATCTGTCTTGGAAGAAGTACAACCAGAATGCTCCTTAGAAGCAAGGATGGCAAGACTATGTCTTACATACTTTGGACATGTTGTCAGAAGGGATCAGTCCCTGGAGCAGGACATCATGCTTGGTAAAGTAGAGGGTCAGCGAAAAAGAGGAAGACCCTCAATGAGATGGACTGACACAGTGGCTGCAACAATGAGCTCAAGCATAATGATTGTGAGCATGGCACAGGACTGGGTAGTGTTTCGTTCTGTGGTACATAGGGTCCCTATGAGTTGGAACTGACTCAACAGCACCTAACAACAACAACAATTCTGTCTCATTAACATCATAGAAGTTAGGATTTACAACACATAATCAGATCACAGAATGGTGGACAACCACACAATACTGGGAATCATGGCCTAGCCAAGTTGATACATATTTTTGGGGGACACAATTTAATCCACAACATATCTCAAAGGAAAACTTGACTTTAAGAATAAGTATTTTTTGCTTGAAAGTTGTTCTGCACAATTTTTGTTGTTGTTAGTTGCCGTTGAGTTGATTCAGACTCATGGCGACTCCATGGGTGCAGAGCAGAACTGCTCAATAGGGTTTTCAAGGCTATTACTATTCAGAAGCAGATCACCAGAGGTGCCTCAGGGTGGGTTTAAACTACTAACCTTTTGGCTAGTAGTCGAGTGCTTAACTGTTTGCACCACCCAGGGACTCGTTTGCACAGCTAGGACTCTCCATTTCACCAGGAGTGGCCCCGAGAGGTGAGATATGATTT